GTAGCAAGGCCAGGAGCCCCTAGTAGCGTCCTTGCTACTAGTAGCGATGCCCTTGTTCCTGGTAGCTTCTTGTTACCAGTAGTAAAGCCAGGAGGTACTAGTAGCATCCTTGCAGAAACTAGTGGTGCAGACGGTCCATGTGTTTCGGGAGCCATGGCAAGTCTGGGCTTCAAAGGAGCGGAAAAAGGGAGACTGGCAGAGGGTGCCTCTCAAAGAACTCTTTGGATCTGAGTTGTATGGCCTTCTTATTTTGTCTTTGCTCAAACACTCAGAGGTCAATCCCACCAGGGTCCATGTGTGGATGTTTGGCCTACAAGAGTTGGTCGCAATCCAGAAGCTGCCGCATGAGGCCCTCGCCTGGTCCTTCGACTGCTTGGCACAAGCAGCGCAACCAGGAAACCAATGGCAGACGCAGGTCCTGCAGATGCTGTGCCTTGGTGGCTGCGATGATGGTCTGGAGACGAGTCTTTCGGTGTCCAGTACGAAGAAAGAGACCGACATGGAAGAAGGCAGGTGCAATTTCCTGCCCCCCCAATTGTCACAGGTACTTTGAGGGTCCGGAGTCTGGATCAATTCTTTTGGGCTCGCCGGTGCTATTCGCTTCAAGATTGTGTGACTCTGTGATTTGGGGTCAACAAGTGGAGAGAGCATGGCAAAAAATAATGAAACAATTGAGAGACCTAGATGCATGAGAGCTGAATCATTGGAGCAAGCTTTCACCCAAGTGTTCGGAAGAATGGCACAAGCTCAGCTTTGTTTTTGCAATTTCACTACAAGAGACAACTGCAACATATCCCAACGGCACCAATGCCGGAGACGACGTTCAATTGGTTTTGTGTTACAATTTGATTACATGTCCACCGCATGAACACCCTTAATACGTGAAATAGAGGGACCGTCTACCTCATCCAAGGTGGTTGTTTTTTTGAGTCCATTGATGTCAAGACCCAACTCCTTTTCGACGGATCCCAGGTGTACCTGCGAGATCCTCACTCGCTTTGAAGTGGCTGATCCTTGGCCTGAGGGATGATCAATTGCTCGCCAAAAGAGATGCCCTGCAAACAGATCAAAGATGGAGTTCCCTTGGACATTGATTCTGATGTATATATATATATATACACATATATAATATATATTGTTTGCTAAACGGCAGGCTGGGATAGACAAAGAACTGCTGTGGCTGGGGTGAGTTGAACCTGAATCTAATCAACAGACTTGTTAGACACTGAAGTAATTCTCTCCGAAGACGGGAAGGCAAAGCACCCAGATTTGAGTCTTTGTCTGAAGCCAAGTACTCTTTTCCCGTTCCTCTCGTGAGAATAGCCACCCTCTCTCCCTTCTCTTGAGAGCCTGTGGTAGTCTGTGGATCATTTGATACAAGAGTCCTCAATGGGCGACGGTGACTTTAGGAGGATTGTGGATCAATGTACTGCTTATAGTGAGAGAGATCTGTACGCTTCGCAACCGTTGCACACGTGTTTGTGTCGACATTACCGTGACTTTGCACCACCATGCATATTCATGCATATTCATCATATACGTGTCAAAGGTTTTATCAGTTAGAAAAGGGGTTATGTGAATTTCGACCTCCATCTGGTTCATTCTGGGCCATTTTGTTGCATGTGTTCTCTACAGGCCGTAACGCCGTCAGGAGACGTTTGGCGCGGAGTCGATGGTCTTGCGGCCCTTTCTGCGCGCCTTGAGTCACCTGGGCTTGGGTCAATACTACCAGTTGCGGAAGAAGCCTCGGGCCGCCGCGCGCTTCCTGGAACAGGCACGGACGGGATTTTGATGGTAGGCAAGGAATGGAGAAACATGGACACTAGCTGATGATGATTCTTGGAAACATAGGCTGGGAGATGATTCTTCATAGTTCTTTGGCCCATTCTGCAAGCTTCGAGAAGCTGTGATCGAGGTTTTCAGTGTTTTCTCTGCTACAGGCTGCCAACGGGCAAGCCCAGTGGGTGCATCCTGCAATCCTCTTGAACCTTAGTTTGGCAGCCCAGGTCTGCGAGTGAAGGGATGCACATTTGACGGTAGGTCAAACTGCCCTCAAATATGGGGACCCAAGGGGGCACACAAGTCATGTTCGGTGTTTTCTTGAGGTTTTTGTTCTTCCAAAACTGAAGAATGAGGAAAGCAATCTATTGCAATCCGTCCTCTGAGTGGTCTTTCCTATACTTGCAGTGTTTGTTCTGTACCCTTGAGTCGATGAGGTACACACTGTTGGTAAGGTGAAATCACTGAACCTGGCGAGATGATCGGGGCCAATCCGGTGAGAAGGACTGCGCAGAGGCGCAGAGGATAGCAGAAAGAACAAGGTGGTAGTAGATGGTAGTAGTATGTATAAGAAAGGAGGCCATCGCTAGTAGGTTGGAGGCCATCGCTAGTAGAGTCCCTGAAAGTCTGAAGATTTAGCTTAGCATGTTATTTAGTTATTGGTAAGGTTTTTACCTACCGTTGAAATGGGGTCATCGTCATTGAAAGCGAGGCTAGGCGATCTGTTGCAACCAAGGGGCGATTTGGAGCCCAAACCTGCTCAACATGACCAACTGGGCGGGCCAGTATATATACGCATTTCAGGATGTTGCAGGACAGGCTCCAACACTTAACTTAGCTACTAACAAGTGCCCTTAGGGTGAAACATCGACCGAGGTCCCCTCAGGTGGGCAGACTGCCGGGTTTCAAGAGTTGTGCAACAAAAATGACGGGGCAAAGAAACGTCTGATCCTGACATGCCTTTTGAAGAGAAGATTGTCATTCAGATTACCGGGCCCCCCCACTATATCCTCCGCATCGGGAGCTTTTAAGAATTGTACAAGTACGTAGGCTTTTCATCCATGCTAAGCCGCCTCCAACAGGCAACACATCAAGGAAGATGCGGAATGAATTGTGTGCAGAAGGCACTTCTCAATCTCTTACAGTATCTTCATTTCTGGCACCCCCTAACCATGCATGTTTAGATGATGGAAGAAAAGGAGTGCCTTGTACTGTCCTCAAGGAGATGGAAAAGTCAATCCCCTACTGGGAACCTTTCCATCCTTTTCATGGATGAGTGAACCTCGTTGCATTCCAAAATGCCTTCCATCTTGAGGGGTTCTGAAAACTGGAAGATCTGGTAGGAACCTCCAAAAGCGCTGAGGTTCGGTACACTTGTTGTTGAAGGAGCCGGGGAAGGCCCTCTCCTGCCTTTGCCAGGCACCGTCCAAACGTCGTCAAGCCGTCCACGTCGTCCTTTCACGATGTTCTTGGTGAGTTGAAAGAAGGTGATGCCAACCAGCTGTGAAGTGAATGTGGCGAGAAAAAATGAGGGTACCACCTAACCCCAAGGACAGCTGAAGTTTTTAAAGCAAACGAAGTGAGAAGACTGAACCTGTGCCGGCATCACTTGCATCATAAGTCTGTCGGGGTGCCTCGTTTTAGAAAGAGGCTGATATAGAATCCTTTGAACTCAATTCCGACGTTTCCAGTAGCGCGCGGGTCCAAAGCTAACTTTCTTTGGCGTTCGTACCCCTTCTCAGGTGTCAATACAGTATATGCAAATATATAGAGCTGAGAGAGAAAGAGAGAGAGAGAGAGAGAGTGAAAGAGAGAGAGGGAGGGAGAGAGGGGAGAGAGAGAGAGTCACTCGGTTCTTTGACGTGCTTCTTCCGACAAAAAGAAAGAGTGACCGTAGACCACACAAGTTACCACAATTGAGGCCTGGGTGCCATGAAAACTCCGAAGGTCTTGATTTGAAGATCACTCAGAATCACGTCCACGCGATGCTGAGTGTCGCAGGTGGTTTTGGCACTGAAGAACTCCATCGGCCCGCTGTGCCCCAATAGCGACCAGGTGTGTGCAGCTATCAGGGATTGCTGATAGTGTCCATCTTGTGAGAAGAGTTGGAGAGGGAAGTTTTTTTTTTTTTTTTTTTTTTAAATAGCTCCTTCTCCGCCCTTTAATGCATTTGGTTGGAACAGTTCTGGACCGGATTCTCCATTTTTGGGGTTTTCTTGTGTTTGTGACGTGTCGTCGTTGGAGAATGTAGTACCCATGTTTGCACAGTTTTTCGTGCAAGAGGGTGTTGAGGATCGGAGAAGAGGTCGTTTGAGCACATGGCTCTTGGAGGAGATGAGCCTGACTACAGTCCGACGAACACGTTGACATGTTTTTTTTTCAACTACTTCCATTTTCTGCTATTAGGAACAAGGTTTGCTACTAGGAACAAGTGCATCGCTACTAGTAACAAGTGCCTTACTAGTAGTAACAAGAAGCTATTAGAATTAAGCCTTGTTTGTTCATCTCCACTTGTGAACTGTTCTTGGGTGGGGCTAAGCCGCCCATGGAGAGTTCTTGTGAATGACTTCGTCTTGAGGAGGGAAAACGACATGGACTGGGTAAACTGTACATCATACATACATTTCATCCCATTAAATGTAGCTGGGAGTTTCACCGATGAACTGCGATCACTTTGATTTGTTTGCCATCCAAATCGACTCCACAGCGCCAAAGAGACTCCAAAGGTCCCACACTTCTTGTGACCTTCTTATTTTGCATGTTTGGCGGCCAAGATTCGGCGTGTTTGACGTCCGGCAGAAGATCCATGCCATCGAGAAAAGGAGTGTTTTTGAGACAATTGAAGCTTGCTTCATGTGGAATCTGTGGGGAACGAACAACAAGAAGCTATTAGGCTGGAGGCCATCGCTTGTAGGTTGGAGGCCTTCGCTACTAGTAGCAAGGACGCTACTAGTAGCAGCATCCCAACACCTCAAGTACCTTAGAGATGGAGGTGAATCTTTTGGCTGAGATTTCGTGCAACGGAATCGAAGGATGCAAACCCAAAACTGGAAGAGTTGGTCTCCATTCGATCCGAACTTAGTTACTCTCTTTCATGAACTTGAGATTGGCCATTGGCCCCCCCGTTCTTAATGAAGTATGTGAAGCCTTGGCCGTTCAAGGGGAGGTTTGCGCCCTGCTTCACAATCAAGAATCACTCTGTCGCAAAGTAAAGGATTGTTAACAAGAGGTACGTGGCTATTACCGTAGGACTCCGTAGGACTTTTACCCTCCAAAAACTTCTTCAGATTTGTGAGTTTAGATTGGCCAGGCCATGCTGCCCGCGCCAGGTGGAGGGGGCCCTGGAGGCTGCTCAGACAGCAGTCACCCAGGTCCTGGGGCCCATCAAGGACCACTGCGCGTCAGTCGTGTGGCACACTGGAGGTCCTTCAACTAAAATCATAGTAAGAGGAACAGTTTGTATTTGTAATAGTTCGGTTGGAGACATCTTGTAAATGGAACACTATTTGATTTATTGTATTTTCGGAGTTTTCTCTCCGCCTCTCTCTCTCTCTCTCAATCTATAAAGAGGTACTGAAGGTTGTTTTCGGGGGACCTGCCAGAAACAATAGGTAAACCGGTAATGGACATAGACTAAATCTATTTTCCTCTTGATGCATCCACGTGTTTGTGAAGGGTAATTACCTCACTCAACACGGCATGTTGCTGCAGGAGGACCAGCGACAAGCAGAGCGGATCTTAGCATGGATATTCGGCAGTTCAAAACTTCAGCGGCGTTTAAAGCCACCGCCGGTTCACCAGGTTCTTGTGAGGAACAGCCAATCTTGAATCTTGATCTTCATGTTGATTGGACGCAAGAAGGAAATTACTGTAAGGATCAGATACACATGGCATGTGTGAAAGGGACCAAAAGTATGCATGTATGATAGTGGTGATTGCTTATCTCCTGGAGAGTCTTGGTAAAGTTGTGGCAATGGTTCAGCATCTCTGGTATCCCTCAAAAATAGATCGACTCAGATAGATATGCTGCCACATTTTATAATCAGGGGGGGTCACCTTTCCATTGAAACAGCAGCTTGTTGGTTGTCCAATGTTATCCATCAGAAACCTTTACGTTTGCTGTTGCTAGGAAATCTGCTACCGTCAAGTTCACCTGCATCTCACGAGGGACGCAGTGTGGGGTCCTCTCCAAAGCATCTGAGGACTTCTTTCTTCAATGGTACCAGACAATCATGCATCGGAATGGGTTAGTGTCCGTTTACCTCCAACATCTACAAAACCTGGTTGAACCATACAATGGTGCACCGTTTTCCCTACATTTTTCGCCACATCCCATGGTTTGTCCGAACGTACTCGGGTTCTGAGGCACTGGTGGAAGTGGACCCCTTTGGCCCGGAAGCCTGGGACCGAGGCATCGAACAGGTGCGGTCGAAGGTGTGAAACTGATGTTCAAAGCAGGTGTTGTCAAAGCATGTCATTGATTTGGAATCATTTGGTGTATTTGTAGTTAACACCCCTAAACTATCCTAAATCATTGACATGTTCAGCAAGACCAGATATTGGCTGGTTTCACCTTTTTGTGCTTTTCACCGGGCATGTTTGCACTTTGGTGGTCAGTGGTCGGCGGTCTGCCCTTTTTTTTAATCGTGGTCAGGAAATGCTAGGTTCCACGTTTTGACCTTTTCACACTCCCAGACTCAGGAAAAGGGTCAGGGGCCCATTGCATTTCAAACCCACAAAACCCACAAACGCGCGCGGCCATCTGCGGCCCATGCCATCCGCTTCTGTCTTGGGAGGGTAGAGGCGGCTTGAGCCAGTAGATTATGAGAGGAGCAGAGTCTATTGAATCACCCCTTGGGCTATGACGAAACTGCTCCAGGCCATGGCATCGACCTGGGCGAGGAGAAGGGCAGGCACCCAACGCGGTGGTTTTGGGAAGACGATTGTCTAAAGATAGGCGGCACTTGTCCACCGTGTGAATGACTGTAGACATCCTGACATCCCTGTTGAAGACTCTGCAGTGGTGGCAGAGGAATGATACATCTGGAGCCTGTAGGTTGTACAGTGGTTTCACCCGCTGCAAATGCAGGATTTATGCGACCCTGTTGGTTTATCGCAGTTGTTCCTACAAATTTTGGCGACATGTTGAGCAGCCTGCACTGACAAGCCTCCATGGCAGAGGTTGGGCCCAGAGCTTTTTTTGTTGATCCCCAGCATGTTCCATTCGGTTGTTTTAAGGGGGATCGATGGGAGGGCCAAGACTTAAGGTCGGGATATCAATTTGCCATGAGTGTGTGGAATACTTGAGGGAAGTCTTCCCCTACTAGTAGAAAGGTGCCTAAGGGCTCTTGGAGCTCGTTGTGATCCTTCACTTGGCAGGGTTTAACCATGGGGCTACAAACCATCGCATATATTGCAGAGTTCTCGCAAGGGCAGATTGGAGAGAAGTATGCTTTTTGGTGCATTCTTATTATTTTTTGCTTAAACAATCGACCCCCTGCTTCAGGCAGGAGATTGAAGCAATCTCAGCAAGGCTTCAAGAGCAGAATTTTAGGCTTAAGGTCACTTGGACTTTGTGAGGGAACCCCAGGGCCCACCAAATGTCCAAACCCTTGTAGAGCATGGCAGCAAGGCCAAACATGTCTTTTACGCCCCATGGTTTTCAAAAGGTTCCTTGCAGGGTGCGCTGATCAGGTCCCTCCGGGTGGTGCCAGGGCACCTTCTCGACACTCCAGAGGCTGGTGCTGACAGCAACTCATCTACTTTGGTGAATCAGCTGTGGTTCCCAACCAGGCGAGTCAAGACTTTTTGGGATATCCCAAAACCACGATCATGGCACATGAGGAAAGATCATGGCAGGTGTAAACATCCCTAGGAAGATCACACTAAGAGGTTGATGTTTACGTTTACAGTACGTCCCCAAGTACTGTATCACCCTGACAAGAAATGACTTCTCGCTGGGGATATCTGGACCCACACCCCAATATGTTTTCTTAGATCCGAGATCCGCCAAAGACAGTTTGCGGTGGGGGTGGCGGAAGTGAAGCATTTGCCACCAGATTGTGGGTCCTCCCCTTCAACACCCTAAGTTTGTCCAGCACAGCAGGACACCAAGTAGCAGGCTTTCCATCGATGTCCTACACCGAAATGCCTCAAGTAGCAGGGGTAGTTTCTGCTGGACACCTGCGATTGCGCAGGTGTCCAAAAGCACCGTGGTGCAGGAGGCCAAGGCAGGACATTGAGCAAGGAGCTGCACACCCCACCCAGCAACTCGCTTCAGCCAAGTGGGTCAAGACACCTTTGATCAACTTGTGTGATGTGAACTAAAGATTTTCAAAAGAATGCGCTGGTCATGGTCCCTGCAACCTCTTTGAGCCTATAATGATTGTGGTAGGCCTCATGAAGCACCCTTCAAACAGAAGGGCAGGCAGACACTGTCATATTCATATCCACGTCTCCTTGTTGAAGACTAGTCAAGCCATCCCTTCGTAGAACGCCTTCTACTGAGCTTCAGCGCCGCCGCCCCAAAAACCACCGATGAGACCCGGTTTGGAGGGATCTCAGGATCCTGAGATGGATCCGACATTAAAATAAGACCATGTCTTTTGTAAGAATGAAACCAAACCCTAAACCTTCCAGATCTTCCAGACTGTCTTAGGCCTGGTCTCTGCATCCTTCTGCGTCATTCTGGGTCTCTGCTCTGAGTCTGGTTGCTTCAAGCACCTGTTTTGAGTCCCTCCAGGTGCCTTCGACACCTCGGCGCGGCTTAGGCGCCGGGTTTGGAGTGCGAGGGCTTGGGAGGAGATGAAGAGACCGATCCAGGAAGCGACGTGCGATGCCATGGTGTCCAAGCTGGAAGTATGGGCTCCATATGGCGCACATAGGATCCCTGGCATCCATGCTGGTTGTAGAGAATTATAGGACCGGATAACCCCACATGTGAACAACTTCGAAAGATTGAGGCTGCAGGGGTAAAGTGCGGAAGAGTGAGCATGGGGAAGAGACAGGCGAAACAGATATAAGGCGTGAGGGTCTCTGTGTGTACGTGAGGTGTTGTTCGTCAGTGTGTATCAGTGGGTGGGTGGATGTATGCTGCTTGGCGCTTGTACTAAAGTTGTACTAGAAAGTTGCCAGTTCTCATCTTCCAGCTCCCCAGATACTCCGCGTACTAAAGTTGTACTACAAAGTCGCCAGTTCTCAGCTTCCAGCTCCGCAGATACTCCGCGTACTAAAGTTGTACTACAAAGTCGCCAGTTCTCATCTTC